TGACTCCAACGAGGTGCCATAGGGCCACTGGAGGCAACCCTGTTTAGGGTGACTGTCGACTGACCGGATTACAGAATTGACCATTTTAATCTGGCAATTCGTTTACGTAAAGCGAAACAGTCGGCCTTTTCGTTTTTCAGCTGTTTTTGAGACTTCCTGCAGCCTCCGATGTCCCAGTGAATCTTACGGAATGCATTTCTGCCAGTGTGAAGCCAGTCCGAACTGCCAGAAACCTCTTTTTCGTCCACGAAGCGTTTGCAGGGACATATGAACAGCAACATGACATAGATACCAGGCAGGCCCATGCTTGCAGGTGTGGTCTTTTTCTCTTGATGGTTTTCTGGTGAGGTTGAACATATTGTGCACCTAATTCGTTGGAACTCGTATAGCGGTTTCATGCCGTCACGGCACGACTGGACCACGGTCCCTAAGGGGAGTAACGCACGACCTCTAGGATTGGCGGAACTGAGTCCTTTTTTCGGTTAATTGTTTTGGTTGTTTCACACTCATCACCAACTAGTCCCCCATTTGGTCCCTAATTCCTTTTTCCCCCCGTGCCTCTCCGTAATGTGTTGTGGGGTTTAGGTGTGTGCTCCGTTTTTGTCAGGTCCGTTTCGCCGCGTAGGTTCCCCTGCGCTGTTTTGGCCTTTTGCCCGTCGCCTGTGTCCGCTTTTTTCTTCCTCTTGCCCTTCAGGGTTGACCCGGCTCCGGCCGGGTGTGTGTGTGTGTGTATGTGTGTGTGTGTGTAACATCTAAATAGTTAGATGTAAAACTTCTCCCTTTTTCTTTCTTCTTTCCTCTCCCCTTCTAATAATGCAGGGGGTCACCGGGGTCCCGGGGGGGTCGGTGACCAACGAAGACACCCCCCCGGGACCCGTGTAAACGTACCTGCATAAGTTAATTTGTTTCTCGTCTAATTTGCACGTTTACAGGACTCAGTTCCTGATGGATCTATTCAAAGATCCAATCTTGTCTAGTGTGTGTGCGTGTATGTGTCTTCCTCTTTGTGTTCTGTTTGTATGTGTGCGTGTGGTATCTTTGTTTGTGTGTCTGTGTGTGTATGTGTTTCTTTGCTGTCTGTCTCTGTCGGTCTCTCAAAATTGTATTTATCTTTGTCTACTTCTGCTTAGAATCTGACATAGCACTTCTATCTCCTTTCTGCTGATCATCTGCATCATCTTCAATGAAGCTTTCACCTACAATGTCTTTGATACTACTTACAAGAGAGGAACATGCTCTTCTACACTCTTCGCTCTTCTGAGTGTAAAAGTGTCTGTGTGTAAAAGCTTCTGTGTGTAAAAGCGTCTGTGTGTGAACGCGTCTGTGTGTAAAAGCTTCTGTGTGTAAAAGCGTCTGTGTGTAAAAGCTTCCGTGTGTAAAAGCTTCTGTGTGTAAAAGCGTCTGTGTGTAAAGACGTTTGTGTCTAAAAGCGTCTGTGTGTAAAAGTGTCTGTGTTTAAAAGAGTCTGTGTGTAAAAGCTTCCGTGTGTAAGAACTTCTGTGTGTGCAAGCTTCTTGGTGTAAAAGCTTCTGTGTGTAAACGCGTGTGTGTGTGTGTGTGTAAAAGCGTCTGTGTGTAAAAGCGTCTGTGTGTAAAAGCGTCTGTCTGTAAAAGCATCTGTGTGCAAAAGAGTTTGTGTGTAAAAGTCCCTGTCTGCAAAAGCGTCTGTCTGTAAAAAGTTCTATTTGTGTAAAACTATACGAAAGATACGATGCAAACTATTGTACTTGTAATATATTGTCTTGATACTACTTTTCTCGTCTGCCTATATTACATCTTTAATATACTGTCTTGTAATATAGTGTCTCCATACTAACAACAGAAGACTCTGCTCCTCTACGCTCTCGGGCCATCCGTCGTCTAGTTTCCTATCCTTTGGAGGGTTGTTGAGATTTGATAAACTTTGTTGGGGGCAACCCTATACGAAATGGTCAACATATCGGGTGCAAAACTCAGGTCTGTTGGTGCCGTTGGTGCGTGGATCGTGCTTGCCTGACGCCATTCAGCCAGGACAGCGTCAGAACCTCGTGGCTGCCTGAGTGATGCAGTGGGAGAAACACGCAGCAAGGGCTGCAACGACTTGATTGCAACAAACAAAATACAAAATAGATAATACAAACATATACAAACAAATAAAATTGCAATAAAACAAACATACACATTGCAATACACATTTCCGCAAGATGCCGCAAGACTCTCTCTCTCCCTTCAATACATCCCTCGGGCGTTTTCCCAAAGTCTCATGAGCCACGTTCTAAACCCTTGTGTTCATGTTAAGCAAGGGGCCCCTTGTAAGGGTGTGGCGTAAGCAAAACCTGTGCGGGTGTAAGCAAAACGTAAGCGATGGCGTAAGCATTTCCTTATTTGGTGGCAGGATGTAAGACATTTAGAACATGGCTCTCATGAGGTTTTTACGGTGTAGCTTTAGGATTTGTTTTTTTTTGGGGGGTTTACTCAGGGTTGGTTCAGATTTTCTTTCGGCTTTATTTAGGGGTTGCTTAGTTGGTTTTCGTGCTGCTTAGGGTTGTTTTAGATTGTTTTAGGGCCTATTCAAGGTTGTTTTAGGGTCTATTTAGGAGTATTTGTGGTTGATGTAGGGTTTTTTAAGGGTTTAGGGTTAGGTTATTTTGGTGTTCTTTCAAAGTCTTGCGCTTTTGTTAAGGGTTCGTTGACGGATTGAAACGCTGCAAATTACGGAGATACTGGTATCTTTAAGGCATGCTCCGAAAGGTGATTTAGGCACCGTCTTAGGTAAGTGCAAAAATGCCATGAGGCGCAGGTACTATCAATGATTGTTATTTTGTATGCTCACAGTTTGCGAAAAACACGCACCGAAACAACACACCATGCAGCCCCGCACGAAATTCCGTGGATTTCTGGCAAACATCAGCCCCCTAACGTAATATACATATATATATATATCTATGTGTGTGTATTCATATATATATATGTATGTATGTATGTATACATATATATATATATATACATGATATTATTGTATATAATTCTGTATGTATCTACTTATAGATATATTTACATATTATATACTTATATATATATAAATATGTAGTTTTAATAAATACATTATATATATATATATACACACATATGTAAAAGTATCAATATATATATATGTAAATAATTCTATTTGTAAATATGTACATATGTATATATGAAATTCAATTATGTATATATACTTATATACATATGTATATATACTCATGGATATACATACTTATATTACATATGTACAAATACATATCACATATATGTATATTATTTATACATTCATACATTCATTCATTCGTTCATTCATACATACATATATATATATATAGAGAGAGAGAGATACACGTTTTTATTTATATATGTATATTGGTACATGTATGTACATACATATTTACATACAGTGAGTATACAGAGGCTCTATTTCCAAAATTCTGAACACAGCACTGCGCACGAGAGGTTGCAGCTACAAATGTTGCAAACCAGTCCGAGTGAAAGGTTCTAGGGGCAAAATGCTGCAAATACCATGCAACTGAGAGGTTGCAAGCTACCATGCAAACGGCAGGGACCAGCTACGCCTAGGTCTGCGTTGATTTTCGCAGAAGATTTATATTTATACAGTAATTTACGCCATCAGCTGGCATTAACTGCCGCCGCTTTGTGTTTAGAGGAAGATGCGGGAAAATTGGACCATACAAATACGTGTTTAGATATTCGGTAAGTTGTTTCAATGTCAGATGGTCGTGTCTTAGCAGTCAAACTTTCGGATTGTGGAGGTGGAAATTGGTTGGCCATCTATCCTTTGATCCTTGGGAAGATCGGAATCTTCCTTCAAAGGTGTAGATCCTATGATCGTTGATTTTGAAAAAGAAAAATTAATTGGAGAAGTCCCAGTGTAGCGGCTGGTCACCAACGATGTGAGAGTGCCGCAGGGGTTTTTCCAATGAAAGGCCAGCGCCACGCGTCGGAATATTAGGAATAGCCGGCACCAAGGGCCAGTTGGGGCATGGCATTGGCATTGATTCTAGGCAATTTCTTTTGATGAATGAGAACCTTGCCTGGCTTGGTAGCAGCCATCATTTTTTAGCAACTACAGGAAGATGTTGCGGCTGGAAACAAACCTTAAACATGGATTGGTTTCTCCTGCAGCCCAAACAAAGCAAAAAAGGAGGAAAACACAGAACCATGCTGAGGACCTGTTATCATCTGTTATCTAGGATATGTTAGAGATATGTTATAAGCTAACGGGAGCTTAGCCCTGAAAAGGTGCAAACACCCATGCAGATGAAAGGTTTCGTGTTCAGTTGCAAATGCTATGCAGAAAGGTACACAGCAAATCTCAAGAATCGATCCCGTAAACCAAAAAAGTGATTCAGGTTTGGCTTTGGAAGGGTCTTCCCCAGAGACCCCCCAAGTCCCTGGAGACGTTCTGCCATATAGAATTCCAGGGTTATCAAGGATTCGTTTTTGAGACAGTTGAGACAAACACCTTCCAACATGGCAACGGCAGATTGCTGTGCAAGTTCGCGTAGATTTTTGGGGGGCCAGTCAGGAGAGCTACAGGGGAGGCAATAGGCACTAACAAGGTTTGGGAAACCAGCTTGTCAAAATGCGAGGTGTGGGTTCCGGTTTTCACCGCCCAAACATCTAGCAGCAGCAAGAGTGGAAAAGTTTTTTTTCGGAATGAGGTGGACACAGTCCAGAAGTTCACGCACTAGTTCGTCCTTCTCGTGTTTTCCCTGAGACACCACCTGCGTTCCATATTGGACCATATTCATCTCACAAACGGAACGGTTTTACTATTCAGCTGGAATTAAAGGTTCAGATTATGCCTGTGAGTTGTGCTTAGAGCTGGGCAATGTCTGGCAAAGGGTCTACACATGGGCTTTGCTTGATGTCAAATGAGTTAAATCTTTCTACTGTGTTGCAATGCAGAATATGCACTGATAGTGGCCTAGGTGAACCTGAATGGTGAGACCTATCCCGTGGGTTTCATGGTTGGCAGCTGGGCTGCCTCCTACGCTGCCCACATTCTTGCGGCAACGCTGGTTGAGGCCATCTTTTGATGTAGACCTCGCCTCTCCACCCTGTGGAGCGATTCAGCTGAGGGTCCATCCCTCCCGTTCATAGAGCATATTATTGGCGGGTTGCTGTTGAAGGGCGGCCCTTTTTTTATACCATTTGAATGGAAAATCCTTGGGATATCGTGCAATCCTCCTCTGCCTGAAGGAGATTTTGGGCTACAACACGACCACAACCATTGGCGCCGACGTGGCCAGCGGAAGCGTCGCCGGGTATTATGGTATCGCGGGGTGCCGCACATTCAACGACATTGCGGATCGTGGCTGCATGAAAGGCGTCACTAGGCAAAACTGACGGCAGGTCCAGCCATGGTTTTTCTCCAAGCAGTTTATATAAGCCGTTCCAAGCAGTTTAACCGCTCGCTTTCCATACTGTCGGAGATTCTGCCCTGGTGGCGGGCGCACGTCGGCCTTGTTTCGCTGTTTTTCCCTTGTTGTCTCCCTGCCCATCTTTTGTTCTACACATCTTTGTGTGGGGTTCTTCCTTTCTTCCGCCTCCTCCTACCTCTACCAAATTGATCTCTTATCAAACCTGTTTGAACTCATCCGCCTCAAATTTATCTCCATCAAACCTATTTTTACCATGCCTATCAAACTCATCCCTTTCAGATTATCCTAACTCATCTCCATTAGGGGTATCGCTGTGAACACTTATCTCTATCAAACTCATCTCTATCAAACTTAGCTGTCCGAACTCTCGCCAGGAACTTCTGTCTATCAAACTGGCGAGCACAGAACTTGGTGACTCTTTTGGGTCTAGTCTGCCGTTTGTCTGTCCGCACTTCGGGTTGATGCAAACTTCTTCGTATCAAAGTTATCTTTTGGAACAAAGTCGCCTCTACCAAGCCCGTCTCTATCAAACTTATTTACCTCAGCCATTTTTCATCATTTTCTGCACTTTCTGTACCAAGCTTATCAAACTCATATTCATATCTATCGAATTCACGTCTATCTATCTTCGAAGGAAGTTTAGACATTGGTCGGAACGTATTCCTCGAGTATTCTGGCTAAAACCCATCGAAAATCCCCGAAGAACAAATGGCGACATAGGATGCCCCCACGCAAGTGCGCTGAATGCTCTTCGCAAAACCCAAAGCGCTACCAGTACGCAAATGGTCTCACAAGGCAATGTTTGGCTTTTGTTCAGCCGCACGCTGCGATCGCTCTTTGTGGGAAAACAGTATATGATTTGAGCATGATGTGGCCGCTGTGACTCAGCGGAAAGATTGCACAAATCAAAGCAAGCGCTTGCATGCCACGGCCACATTCACTTTTGAACAGTTTCTGCATGACTTTGTTTCCTTAGACTGGCATAGGATACATTCTTCCGAGAAAGAACAGCAACAACATCCAAAGTCTTGGGTTCAGTGTTTTGGTGCCCTTTTTCTTGCGGTTAGTGGTACGTTACTCTTTGCTTCATGCCAAAATGGAACGACCCAACATCATCCTGCAGGTCTTTCCATGTTGGGACTTGTGGTCTGACAACGTGCATGACTTGCAACATGGTCTAAGGGAACTGACATACGAGTTCTTCCATGTTCTTCCAACATGTCTGGTTTTGGTATGGTTTTTGGTTGGCACATGTTCTTGATATTGTGAGAGGAGGCCCCGCAGGAATGCTTCTTGCTGGGAACACGCAGGGGGCTTCATCTGAGCAATGCAGTAATGGATGATTCGTGTTGCAGTGCTGCACTACTAGTGATTAGCTTGTTTGGAATTGGGCTTCTGCAGCAAGATAAGATTGTAACTGGGGATGTGCGCCCTGTAATCAAACATGGAAAGCCTGATAAGTATTGATGGGAGCAGCTCTAATGCAAAACAACTATCAGCTCAACTGATCCTTTGCCCGTAGATGGGTAGCAGCATCCAACAATGAACACAATTTCATTCATCAATACACCCTTAGAATTTATATATAGATCCTTCAAATTTATATATAATCCCTAGAAGGTTTATATGTAGTTCCACAGAAAAGCCAAATAAAGAGGGAAGCGCACCCAATAACATAGACAGATAGATAGGTAAACCGATAGATAGACGTATAGCGAGAGAGATAGATAGACAGATAGCCAGATAAATAGGTAGACAGATACACAGGTAGATAGATAGACAGCCTGAAACTCCAACGACCTTTCGAGCTATCAGTGGGCTCGCTCTGCCATCAAGGATTCACACAATCACTTCTCCTATTATTTCCTATCTTTCAACCTTCCGCCACCGCCTTGTGTGGTACTACTGGTATCTCTTGTCTTCATCGACATGTCCTTTTTGATTCTTGCTCTTCCCTGCTTTGCAAAATAGAATCAAGGAATGATTAAATTTATGTGGGAGATATCGGGTCCTTGAATGTTTGGGATGGCACGTCGCCTTTTCCACACTGTGTCATGCTGTGTCTCTATCTCGTCTTCTTGTTTGCCGACTTGTCTATGTGTTACTCCTTACAAGAGTGAGCCTGAACAATGAATACCCGTTGAATAGCATGAGACCTTTGATGCTGGAAGTTGAACACTGTTGGGTTGCGCAATGAACTGCGGCACCAACAAGGGTTCTCGGGTTGGAAGAAACTAGACTTTCGATTTCGAGAAAGAGAACTCAGCGTTTTTAAATTCCAGAGAGATAGGAGCATCTGTAAACACATCAGAGCGTCAATGACAGAGCAAGCGCCCGTGTGATCTGCAATCGTTGTCCCATACCGGAAAAGATTACACCGCACAGAGATCCTCCAGGTTGAAAAACAACATGTATGCTTTATCATTTGTTATTTTGCGCATGTGCCACATTGTCATGAGAAATATACCGCAATTTAACTTGCTAAAATGCATTTATTCCATCCCAGCATTGTTGGAAGGCATTTGCAGACATATGCAGGTGATACCTGCAATGTTTATCTTGGATTCAGGCTGATATGGGTTTGCTGAGTGTCCCGATTTGACATGGTTGGTTTATTGCAACATTTTGCAGATTGCCCAGAATTTGGGGGGGGTACTTGGATCACACGTTTGACGCCAAAGCAACCTGCACCAATGTCAACAAACAAACGCGACTGTTTGCAAATGTGTTTCACCCCGCTGTCGGTCTACGGTGATTCAAGGAAGTAAGAGCGGAAAACATTGAAACATCATGAGGCATCTGCAAAGATACACAAAGATGCACCACTGATCCACGCGAGTGTCAGTATCCAAAGTACATGCGCGTCATCACTCACCAAGAGATGAAGCTTCCCACACGCAGAAACTAGCCAGGATTTGCAGCCAACCCGGCAGCCATTCTTGTCCAAACGAAGTGATGCCAGGTGACCTACTACCATGTCGGTTTGGAAACGTGGATGGGATACCCAACTGATTGGGATTACATCCAGAACACCTACACCTCCATGGTGCCAAAGAATTTGGGCAGTATGGGGTATGCGGGTGTTAGCGGACATTGGATCCCCAACGAAGTCCAGAGTCACGCCTACTCAACGCAAGGCAAAGCGCTCGAATTTTACCGTTCATGGAATGCGTCTTGGAATCAGCCTTCCAACTTCTTCAGTTCGGTGCTATCGATCGACCGCTCCAAGATGGCCCTGTGCAACGCGTCTGGCGGAGTCCTGGCAAATGATGCTATAATGCGTCGTCATGTCCGCTGGACCGGTGACATTGATGGGGTTGTCATCAACAATGACACTGACACTCAGCTATGCCAGCAGACCCCCACGGGGACGAATTGGAAGTATCGGGGGAATTTGAGGGAAGCCTTCAGCAAGGGGGCGTTTGGTTGATTCACCTTGACTCGGTTCAGAGTTTGAGCCGTTGATTGCAGTGATTGATCGAGTTACCGCTTGCTTACCCGATTCGGTCAATGATTAAAGCCTAAATGTTTGGCCGCCGACACTGCAATCCAAACCGGTTCGGGTCAAAAACCAGACGGGCCATTGATAAGTAGCGAGGGGCAAGACTTAAATCATATTTATCGAATCTTTCAGGAAGTGGGCAATAGCGAAATTCGTTTTGCTCAGTTTTGGCGGAGTTTTTTTTTACTGAGGTATGTGATGGAGTGAATGCTTGCTTGCGTGCGTGCCTGCGTGCCTGCGTGCCTGCGTGCGTGCGTGCGTGCTTGCTTGCTTGCTTGCTTGCTTGAGTCAATCCTTGCGTGATTAGGAGAGAAACAGATTGACGGATCACGAATACTGTAATCCACACCTCCGTTATTGGTAGCTTGAGTGGCAAAAGACATCCCGGTGACATGCACTTCTGGGGAAACAACGCTTGTAAGGCACATTTGTAGGACCCTCTTGCACGACATGTTGATTAGACGCATTTATGAAACACTCTCACAGGACACTCTTTACGGACTCTTGCAAGAGACGCTTGGGAGACGGAGTAGTTGTTAGAGAAAGGTACAGTTTTTCAATGTTTTTAATCTCTTGTCAGATAAATTGGCAAAGCATTCATGTGGGACACTCATAGGAGATCCTTCTGAAACACTCTTGTAGGACCTTGAAGACATTCTCATCAACAAATTCTGTATGACACTCTTGGGACACACTCTAATGAGGCACTCTTGCAGGACATGTTTGCAGCACACTTTCTTAAGACACTCTTGCAACATCTTGCAACATGTCAATTTCTATTTACCAAATGCTGGTCTCAATCTGAGCTTCTGCCGCGACGTGTCCAATATCCATAAAAGTCCCATGCTTGGCTAGTCATTCAATCATCGATGCATATGCTCCTCACGTACCCGTACGCCCCCGAATCAGTATGCTTTCATGATTTATTGATGTTTATTGCCTCATCAGTTTCTCTTCCGGCATCATACAGTATTGTATCCCAGTATCCACCATTGTCAAACCCAAGTATCCCTCATTGTCAAGCATTTCTTCGGCGAAAGCGACCACGAATCTCAGGATCCCAGGCAAAGCAGAGTATACTGAGTAGACCTGCCAACAAAATAGTCCTGCCACAGGGCAATATGCACCTGTTCCATCTGCAACCCTTCAAATAAACCCATGCCTGCCGACACGTTTGCAACCTGTACTACATGACGTGCCATGCAGAAAGGAATGCCCGAAGTACGGCGCTTGTGGCGCGAGTCCTTGAAATGTGCTCATGCCATCTGATGTCCAACCCTCGTGCCACCCAAAGTGTATGTCCCGAAAGTGAGCACATCACCACTCTGAGAACGTGCCTTGGAGCGTCTTGCTGGCGCAATAACAGCAATATGCCGCGATGTGAGCTTGAATGTTTTTGAAAGCCGCATTTGCGTGACCCGGACCACTTCAACAGAATCAACAGAGCGAGCAAGGGGGGAAAAACAAAAGAAGGGGTTAGTTGAATCAATGAACTGAACCAGTGGGAATCTTCGTGAGTTGGTGGGTATATGGGTTGAATAAGTTTGCTTTTTGTTTCCTGTGCTCTGAAAATTCGAGGGCCTGTTCAGTCTGCCATGTTGGTTTCCAATCCGAATCTCTACGCACTTGCCAGTGACGCACGCCATCAGGATGTCTATTCGGGCCGTTGTGATGATGGTGTCTGGTGGGCTGCGCCATCATGCCGAAACGACTTAACGAAATGCGTTCCCTTCATTGGCGCCGGTGCATGGGGAGTAGAACATGCAATGCAGAAGTTTGCGGCTCACAACATGCCCGCTGCAGTTGGAGTGCCTGCATCATGGAGTGGAATTCCCACCGTACGACGCGAAAGGGTGGAAGGAAGGCAACCTCCAGACTGGCGAAGATGCAGCTCCGGTGAATAGCATCGTCAGCGCTGACTTGGCAGTCTTGGCCCCCTTCGTTGAGGCATTCGTCGACAAGCTGGACTTGCCCATTGCGGAAATGAACAAGATGCTGCTTGACCAGAAGAACACTGGAGACACATGGCGGAATGTGACTTGCAGGTGGGTCACAGCAAATCGAGCCATCTGGCAGAAGTGGATCCCAGATGAGAGTGAATGTTTTCCTGGCTTCGGACTCTATGACCATGTGCTGCAGGGCTTCACTGACTCGCGAGTGAACGCAACCAACAAAGTTGTGTGCCAGGCAGGTTGAGCAGTGGTCCGCTCATGACGCTCATGCCTTGACAAGCAATGTTGAACATCACGGCAAATAGATATATAAATAGGTAGGAAGTCCTGTCACAAGAAGCAGCTTGCACCATGATATTTTTACTGTTGTACTGGACAACCGCTTTCGGGAGGCTTGTCCACCAGGCATGTTCTCGCAAAAGTTGGAAGACAACAAAGGAGTGACCTATGTCTGTGTGGCTTGTGGCAAGGGAACAAGCCAAAGCTCTGGTGCTTCACTGGCCTGCGCGCCATGCAAAACAGGTCTGATTGCTCAGTCCAACGGACCTCTTCAGAATTAAGGAATGCATGGGCCAAAATCAAGTAGCGGGCTTTTTTTACCGAATGCGTAGCAAGGGTTCCCGTTTCACTCTGGGTCTGGGGTTGAGGGTGTGTTCGCTCGACATCGCGCTTGCGTCCGCAACCGTTCGCAACCGTTCGCAACCGTTCGCAACCGTCCGCGTGAGGGCCGTATGCTTCTGGCGAGCCCCTCGTTTCGCGTGGCAGGCGTGGCACTATTTGTGGACCATCCAACATGTTTCGATCATGTTTCATAACGTGTCGAAAGTTGTTCGCGTCGCGTCATTTTCAGAAGATGCGTTGCGTTTTTCGTGGCAGGCGCAGCACTGTGGTGACCTCCATGATCATTTTGCGTGGCAGGCGCAGAGCTTCAAACGTGTCGTGTTGCGTGTTTTTTGCAAATCGCAGTGTCAGGGCTGCATCAAGTGGTGACAAAAGTGCAAATTCCGTGGCAGGCGTTTTGTGACAGAAAATTGCCGTAGGCCTCGCACGAAACATCGTTTTTGATGTGGTAGAGTTGTGGGGTTCATGAGAAAACTCGTAGGAAAACGTGGAATTTGAAGCAACAAAGTGTGAAAAATTGAGAATGTCTCGCACGAAACGCTCGTTTTCAGGCTCCAGCATGTCTCGTCTCGATTCTCTGGTTTTCTTGTAGCGCCGCCGTGTCTATGGGCGATGCTGCAAAACCTCTCCTTTATTGCATGTTTTCCAAGCAGGTTCTAATGTCGTTTTGCCTGGCAGGCGTGCCACTTCGTGACATTCATTCATATTCATTCTGACGTGTCTGCAAGAACGTCGAACGTCGTTTTTGCGTGACAGGCGCAATACTTTTATGATCTTTTATGCAAGGTTTCAGAAGATTAGTTGCATGTCTCGTGGCAGGCGCAGCACTTTGGAGACCTCCATCGTCATTTTGCGCGGCAGGTGCAGCACTTCAGACGTGTCGTGCGTGTTTTGCGAGTTGCACGTCGGGTGGTGACAATGCAAATCGTGCGGCGGGCGCGAACCATCGCGAGAGTGTCATTTTGCCTAGCAATGACAGTATTTGGTGCAGCTCCGTTGTGTGTGGAATATCATTTTGCGTGGCAGGCGTAATCTTTCGGACACTCTACACCTTACACTTTACACTCTACACTTTACACTTTACACTCCACATTCCACACTTTACACTCCACACTCTACACTGTACACTCCACACTCTACACTCCACACTCTACACTCCACACTTTACATTCACACATTACACTTATACACTCCACATTTTACATTCCACACTTTACACTTTACACTCTACACTTTACACCCTACACTCCACATTCCACACTTTACACTCACTCTACACTGCACACTCCACACTCTACACTCCACACTTAACACTCCGCACCCTACACTTTACACTCATACACTTTACACTTTACACTCCACACTCTACACTCCACACTTTACATTCCACACTTTACACTTTACACTCTACACTACACTCTACACTCCACATTCCACACTTTACACTCCACCCTCTATGCTGTACACTCCACACTCTACACTTTGCACTCTGCACTTTACACTCCACACTTTACACTTTACACTCCACACTCTACACTTTACACCCCACGTTCCGCACTTTACGCTTCACACTCTGCACTTTACACTCCACACTGTTCACTTTACACGTTCAACTTTACACTTTACACCACGCTCTATACACTTCACACTTTAAACCCGACACTTTTCACTCTACACTCCACAATCCCCACTTCACACTCTACACACTACATTCCCGACTCAACACGCCACTTTCTTCACATGTCACACTTTGCACTCCACCCCATTCGACTGTTCAAATAAGTTGTTTCAAAAGTGCTCTACGTGACTGCATTCGGGTTCGCGGGCTGCATCTTGTGTTCCTATACAAGATTCAGCCACCGGACTAGTGTGTGCTTGATTTGAGCACCGCGAGCATTTCCAATGCCCCAGTTCTCCTTGCAGCCTGGACATCTGACCTTTTGGCGCTTCGTTGTTTTTGCGGTTGAAAGTCCTGTCAAGCCGCAGGTGAATATCAGGACGAGCTTCAAAGCACGGAATGCAAGCGCTGCGACTTTGGCACTTATCAGGACCGAAAACCACCTGCGGATGGCGGTGGATGCCTGCTCCGTTTTGGGAGAGCTACCCATGCCATATCTGACCATATCTAGATGGCTTTGGGCTGTGCTTGCTAGTTGTAGTGGAGGTCGTAGTGACATGCCAAGGAAATACCAGCCTGAGCTATTCCATTCGCAAGCCGTGATTCTAGCCTACCTTCCGAGTAGGATTTGCTAGTGGTATTTCAGGTTGCGGGTGGGAAACAGCAGCCAAACTTGGGGTAGTTTGATGCATTAATCCCGACAGGCCCCTCACATTTTCGCGTGGTGCGATGCTGGGAAACTGAAGTCAGCAAGAAATTCACAAGCGGGTTGTCAGTTGCCACGCCACCTAGATCGGCGGGTGGAGGGGCACCAAGCGTCCTTATACAGTACAAAATCAATTAATCAGCTGGAGCATTTAGCAGGGTACATTCCTATACCCTCTCTCGAGCCGGGACAGCATGAAACTGTGCCATGTACCTTGCGCGGCGAATGTGTGTTGGAAGCAAACACAGCAGCAACATTCACTGAAACTCTGCCTCTGCATTGTATGTCAGGGATTCCTGCAGAATTTCAAGTGGAAGTTCCAACAAGTTCCATAGGTTTTTTAATTTGTGAATGCGCACACCTAGCATCACGGTCTATGTCTGTCTCATCCCTGGCAGGCCAGTGGCAGGCCAGTGTTTAGTACCCAAAACACAGCTATGTATATAAAGTGGAAGAAAATTAATCATTAGTTGTAAATTGTAAACCTGAAAAACAACAGTAAGCTAACATGACGCGCAACTGGGCACAGTTCCACACTTCATTGCAAACGGAACGCAATCTTCGCCCCAATCCTTTGCTGTAACCCCGCATAAAGCCGTGGGAGGGTATCCAAAAAGGGCGAGCCCCCATCTTGGTGGCGCCGCCTCAGTCAACTGCGCGATTCATACCATTAGAAATTGTTGTTTGTCTTCAAGCCATGGGTCCTTCAATGTCCGGGTTCGCGCCAGGATCAGACTGGACAGGAAGCATGCAAGGCTTGCCCTGCATCCACGCGCACCCTCGGCTTCGGCTGCCTGTCCTGGTCGGAGGGCGCATGTAAAGTGAAATCATTGACTTGAGATGGAAGCGGACATGTTTTTTCAACAGGAATACGTTGTCTGATGGTTGTTTGCATATACTATACTGGGAAACTTCAATGAAAGACCGTCGTTGTACTGAGACATCCAAAAGAGCGGTGTGTGCACAGCAGGTCGACAGCGTTGCATGCCAACGCTGGAACCAAGTCGGTAGCGGCCGGTTGGATGTTGGTTGATAATTAAGCCTTGCATTCAACAAATGAGCAAGGCTCAACAGCGCATGCTTGGGGCCTGACATGTGTGTTCAGGGGTTCTCTAGCGCACTGGTCTAGCTTCGATTCAAACGCAAGAACATGTGAACAAACCATTAACACGCAAGGCCACTTCCAGCTTGGTGCGATTCGAAGCAAAAGCCCTTGCCCCAAGCTACGGCTTATACCGATACCTAAAGGGAAGCCCCAAAGTTTGCACCTTGGCCTTCCTCCCTGCAGATCCCAACACGCCTTTCCCGCTGCTGCGGTGTGGCGGTTGTTCTGGCTAACTTCGTATTCATGCCAGTTAGCAAGTAAGTCCCATGTGTTGTTGCTATAAACATATTCAAACCCAAGACATTTTTGAAATTGCCCAAGTATTGAACTTGGATGCGCCAACCATCATTTACTTGTATCATTTGTTTCTTGCCATGTTTTGATCAGGTTCAGTGGCAGAAGCCGATTGCGGCTGCCCCGAAAAATACATTGACATTGACCGGTCAGGCACGAAATGGGACCGCAAAGTGGGATGTTCTTGCGCGTGTGCTTGGACCCTGGTAGTTCTTGATGGCAAGGTTTGCTGGGCATGTGATCCCAGCATGTTCACCGTAAACCAATCGAAAAACGTTTTCTCTTGCAGGTTCTTTCGCGATTTTCACGTTGCTTGTGCTAGCTGAAGCTGCTTTTGCTTCAGCAAGTTGGATGGCGGGGATGGAACCGCCAATCACGTGGGAATTTTACCGTGGATGAGGCTGGAAAATGAATTTAAAATTGATTTGGATTGGCAAAAGGCTAATTTCGAATGTAGTTCTTTCTAGTCAAACCGGACTATCCAGGGTTAGCCCATAGAAAAGATTAAATTTAAGTCTTTATAATCCTTGTTAGATCTGAATTCCAGCCTTGTTCAAGTTATACCCCGCTTCCCCCGGCTCAATTCCCCGAGAACCGTCCCTATCATGCTCATGTCATTTCGCCGTCTCGTCCTCCTTTCGTCCGCTTGCCTGTGGTAGATGTTTCACGACCTGAAATCATATGCGGACAAATCTTTCCAAGAACGTTCTCCTCACTGCCGTCGTTATCATCATTATCATCATTGTCATGGGCATTTTCATCACCACAATAGCAACAATGAATGATACAAATAATAATATTATATAATCATGATCATGTAACACCAATAATAATCATCATCATCATCATCACCGTCTTGGTATGACTATTTCCACCGTCAACATTGTAAGCGATTGCTTTGGTTTTCTATATAAATGTTCCTTTCTAGACTTCTCGACTTCTTATTTGTAGCGCATTCTCTTCTCTACTGAAATGTTTGCCCAGCTCGCTTTCGTCCCTTCCCGGTGGCCTCAAGTCTCATTTTGCTTGTGGCTCGGATTATCCCCACCTTAGGCCGAGGTCCATTTGCGATAGATACATTTCCCTTTTTCAGGAATTTTACGGTAGGTTTTACATTTTTTGTTTGACGAAGTCAGATTCCAAGCGCATAATTGATCCAGGAGCCTTCGAGTGCGTCAAGTGCAGTGAAGGAATGAAATGCCCAGCTCTATCTCAGTTGGTTACTTGGCAGTGGGGCAGGCACAAGTCGTTCAAATCCAAAAAACACTTGCGACAGGTTTGCGAGTGCGTTTCGTTTTGTTTTGCATGAGCAAATTTTGGCTGTGTCTTGCTTGTCCACTTCTCTTTAAAGCCTGGTATGCAGGAGTACAAAACCTTGGAAACATTATGCCACACTGGTCTTGCAAGAGACCCTGTCTTGCCAGTTTGCGCACTCTAAACGAGTGTCGCTCAGTCACCGAGGATGATTTGGAGAATGGAAACAGCACCAATGGGGAGCAGTTCACTCCAAAGATCATGCAGGGATACTACTCCACAATCACCTCGCCCACTGAGGCACGTTGGGTATCGGGCATGATGCATGTGCAGTCCGGTTTGCCACCTCAACCTACAGCGTCAATAGTTTGGAGGGCACTAGGTGCCTACTCGGACTTTGGCAGGTGTTCCTTTGCACCAGCGCCACAAATTGTCCTGGCGGTCCTCCTGGTACATGTGCTGGTGGCCTTGTCGATATTCCTTGTTCGCAGTGCGCTGAAGGCACCCACTATCCTGGTTAGCTATGATGTTAAGATGTATTGCAAAGTGAGGGTTGATGTACATATACAGGCGCTATATCACCATCATTTGACTTGGGTATTCTGTTGAGATTCGGGTTCTGATAGCTCTGAAAGTTGTGTTCCTGTAGAGCAAAGAGCATTGCGAAGTCTTCACTTCAATTCCATCAGGATGGTGACTCAGTAATTGCTTTAATGCTTGCTTTGACTGCCTAAGTTTCTGTGCTCGGCAGTGACATGAAAAAACATTGCAGGTATGACATGGACGGGAAGTTTGTGCGAAGATTGTGCGGGATGGCGGCAAGCTCTATGGGAAGCTTGGTCTCAGTATGGTTGAGCTGATGATGGGCGGCGTTTGCTTGGTTGTACATCTTAGGTTACCCACATAGAAGTGGGACGGTCTGTACAGAGCTGGGTTTTACGGTTTTACTGCGATGATTCTGCAGTTAAAAGTTAATACAAGCTGGAAAACACATCCAAGTAGGTATTCGCTGCAACTCAATCGCGCTAAGAACCACTGTATGCAAAATGCAAGAGCCAGCGCACAGACACATGGCAAGAGTCACCTTGGCGCCGCCAACCGCTGGATTGCAAAACACAACTGCGCAAGCACACAAGCACGTAGCAACCCCCCAGAACCAGATCCCGGTGCCAAAACAGAAACAATACGATTTTGAAGCGTTCCTGAATACATTTTTTGACATGAAGATGCATGCCACCAAAGTTTGACAAAGTAGAGCCAAACAAACGCATCGATGCAGAAATTCGACCGATCTGACCGAGCACTGGGGCCCTTCCGCCCTTCAACTCCCTCTGGGTCCGCCCGCGAAGGGTCATTGTTTTTGTGTGTTTTCTCACGTCCCAATTTGATGATCTGCGGGAAATGGTGTGTGTGTGTGATGGTGTGTGTAGTTTATTGTGTCAGGGGTTGATTGATTGTTTGCGGCGAGCTTGGCATGTTGCCTGGGTCTTTTGGCTGATGGTTATTGCCAGTACGGCACAAGGCGGTGGCGGAAGTTTCGAAGATAGGAAACCTATAGGAGAGGTGAGCTGTTGTGATGCATGGATGGCAGAGCGAACCCACTGACGGACCGAAAGGTGGCTGAGGCTCTCTGTCTGTCTGTCTCTCTCTCTCTCTCTCTCTCTCGCTCTCCCTCCCTCCCTCCCTCCCTCCCTCCCTGGTGCTTTGAGGCTTCTGGACAACTTTCTGTGCTGAGCCTCTAAAAAACGACAAATTATTTCAAAATTCCAATATCATTTTTCAATTCCTATATCACCTATCACCTATATATCTACAAAATATGTTTCTATTTTTTCTACAAAATGGACGAGAAACTACCAACTTCTGGTGGCACTGACAGGAAAACATATTGTAGAAACTAGATCCCCGTTGCTAGGAGGTGTAAAGTGCCCATCCCATCCTTCTACAAAATGGTAGGCTCATGTAGGCCCCATAGGGTTACTGCATACAATGTCTTGAACCAGCTACAAAATGGAAGGGCGCCATCACACCCACCCACATGTCCATGATACTCTGACACTACCATTTTGCAGCTGGTTCAAGAAATTTACGTTGCAATCTCAGGTGCCAAGCTACATGTGTCTGTTGGAGGGGATTGTGGTAGCTGCCTGTGCAATAGGCTTGCAAACGGGAAGCCTACTTGTAAAGTGTCTTTGCCGACCATGCGGATTTCTTGGTGAAGATGATCCAAGTTTCCAAAGCCTCCAAAAAATTAGCGCAAATCGAAAGATTCTTGTGACACCACTACTTCTGCCCAGTCTATCTGACTGCTTCTGATGGACGATATAGTATTCGAAGCCCGATT